ATTAACATTGTGATAAACACTGAAGACACCATCATGGTCACTAGACATTCCAACAACAGATTCAATGCGATCTCCGACTTGGTCGATCTGATGAAAACCGGATATTTTGAAATAGTTTTATTTTGCTTTGAAATAATATCAAGGCATCGAAATTGCTAAACACCGCCTTCAATTGCAAGAGATAGCCGCCTACAGCTTTAGTGGAGTCAGGTAGTTCATGGACAAGGGAAAAGAAAATGTCAATAAACGCATATGCGCTAGATATATGTTAAAATGACTTAAAAAGGCGACATGGCGTTCGTCTGTCAACCGGTACACGAAGCTTGATATCACCTAATCTAACAATTTAGTGGACGAAGGAGTTATGCTCGAGTGGGATCATCAGTATCTCTATTGCGACCACTTTCTGCTTTACGCCAGCACACAGCAGCTTGTTTCAACAAAGCACGGCAAAGTGAATTACAAGATATTTGGTTTGCCCCTACATTAGCTGAGTAGGTCACGGAAGCTAAGGATATCTACCTCACCCAAAGGAATGATAGACTATTAAGTGCAAGTGTCACTTGAATCACTTGTAAGCCCACTCACTGCCTCGTTAAACCACACTTCTACATCATAGGTCAATTCAAAACTCCCAAAACACCGTGCGTGCTATGTGTCCGATAACTGTCAGTGGGGTCTGTCTACTTGAGACGATAAACCTTGGTGTCCTGCATGTCCTCTATAAGGTGTGACATGTCCTTCAACGTACTCCACACCCGTTTCATTCTTCTACTTCATCGCGTCTTACGTTGTGCATCACCTCACCTTACCCTGCCTCATTCCTCTATATTGCCCAACAGATTCCAATAGGCAAATTAAGTCTTATGCATTTACCTTCCTTCATTGCTTTTTAGTGAGACCAAAACACCCTCCTTTTCGATTTTCGTTTGATTTTCTCATCTCAACATCCTCTGAAGCCCAATTTACTTCTCTCTCATCTCCTCCTTCTCCTCCTGCGTTATTCTTCCCCAATGTCATTTTGGTGAGTTCTATTCAACTTTCATTATCTGTGTCTACTTCTAATTCACCCACCTACACTTTCATCTCAGTGCCCCAACCGCAGTCATGAGCCATGCTGTAGGCTAGGCTGAACGCAGATTAGACTGCACTGCACTTCACAAATGACTGTGTTTTCTCTCTCGTCGCCTCTTGACTCATTCTGCATTCCCTTTTACTACTTCAGCTCATCTCAGACCTTATTTAATTGGTCTCTCCTACCAATGCACTCTAGAGAAGGAAGGTGAGTACCTCGATACTTTGCTAGTTTGCAATTCGTTCGACAGCCGAACTTCGACTTACTGTAACGCTAATATTCATCCTTTGTCCTTTTAGAGAGTCTATATACCTGGTCTATCACGGAATGTGCACCCTCCAGATAACCGTTAGCTGTGTGTGTTTATGCACGTGTGTGTAACTGTATGATTTTCTACTGAACTCCTCCCAGTTTATTTGCTTGTCTCATTGTTCAGGTTCATATTTTTCCCCTTAGAGAATCAGGCTACATGGCGCATCACAGAAGCTAGTAAGAATGCATACTATACCTATTAGTCGTTACTCGCTACTCAAAGTCCATTACGTGTAGGTTTGCATTTTTATGAGTATGCAAA